AATTGGAGCCCAGAAAGGAAGTGACCATTCCATCTTAGAGCCCAGAACAGATGAGAAGAGGAAAGCAAGACATACTCTAAAATGCATGCTAGCTTTGGGAAGAGCAGATTTCAAAAATTCAGAGAAACTCTAGGGTTAGAATCCTATGGCTTAAAATTATAAAAGGGAAATTGGCCCCAAAGGATTGGAGACAGCAACTATCCTAAGGAGGAAGAAAGGGGAACGTGTCCAAAGAGCCCAATGTGACTACACAGGGAACTCGTTGACAAACTTAGATTTTTAGAAAGCACATAGAAGAGACAAAAGGGGGGCAGATAATGGTAGACAAAAACAAAAGGATAGCACAGTCTTTAGAAAAATTATATTGAAACAACTCAGGCTAATAGTCACAACAAAAGACCCTTTAAAGCTATATTGAAAACAAGAGAGAAGTGAACAAGATAGGACCACTTCTTGTAGTGGATGAGTTAATGGAGAGAATGTGAAAATATTGAACTCACGTGGTTTTGTTTTTCATCTGTGAAGAATGATCTTGAGGCTGGGAAGGACAGAACAAAAACGGCTAACAGTAAATTAGAACCCAAGATGAATGAGTAGGTAGTGAGTGTGCATTTCAACAATGGTTTTAAGTCACTAGGCCCAGTAAGTAATAATAATATTAATAGTAATTATTATTATTTCAACAATGAATTGAAGTTACTAGGCCAAGATAATAATAATAATGTTAATATAATAGTAGTTATTATTTCACCAAAGAATTCAAGTTGCTAGGCCCAGATAATAATAATGTTGATACCAATAATAGTTATCATTATCATTATTATTATTATTATTTCAACAATGAATTCAAGTCACTAGGCCCAGATAAACCACATTCCAAAAGTCTGAGAAACCTAGTAAATGTGACTGCTAAGTGATTGTCAGTGACCTTTAAAAAATCCTGGAGAATGAAGGAAGTGCTGCAGAACTAGAGCCAGAGAAATACTGTTCTGACTTTTTTTTTTGGTGAGACAATCGGAGTTAAGTGACTTGCCCAGGGTCACACCACTTGTGAGTGTTATGTGTATGAGGCCAGATTTGAACTCAGGTCCTCCTGACTGCAGGACCAGTGCTCTATCCACTGTGCCACCTCGCTGCCCCCCCCCCCACTGTGCCACCTAGCTGCCCCTGTCCTGACTTTTAAAATGTGGAACAGGGTTGGGGTCTTCACCTTGTAGACCAATGAGCTTGACTTAGGTTTCCTGCAAAAATCTAAAAGTTAAAGGGATCGTATTATGAACAATTAGAAAGGAAACAGTGATTGTTAAGGACAAGCATGGCTTCTTCACGAACAGGTCATGGTCATGCCAGACTAACCCCATTTCATTTTTGGGCTGTCATTAGGTGGATAGAACAGGGCGTTGCTGCAGACAGTAGATGTGTATTTTAGATGGGCATTTGTTCTAGTCTTTTATGATGGCCTCATGGACTAGCTGAAGAGATAAGGGCTAGACTGTAGCAGAGTTAGTTGGATTCAGAAATGATTAAAATACTGGACCTCAAAAAATAATGAATTATGCAATCAGCGTCAAACTGGAGGAAAGCCTCTAGGTATAGTATCCCAGGGATCTGCTTAACATTTTTATAAATTCGTTCCATGAAGGCTAAGTTGACCACATTTTTAGGTGACACACAGCTGAGAGGGATTGCTAAACTATCACACGAGTGGAGGAGAGCAAGGTCATCTACTTTGCACTGCTCTGCCTCATTCAAATGCAATTGATGAGCAAGTCAAGACATCATGCCTGTGATGTCATTGGTGCTCTTTGAGAACAAAGGAAAACAACAACAACAAGAGTCATAATTCACAAAGACCTTGATGAGCTGGATCTACGGCCAGGTCTAACAGTATTGACTTGAGAGGCACATGAGGTTGCTGGTGAATGTTTAACAACAGATGTAAGCATTAATGGGAGGATTTGAACACAGGTTCTATGACTCCAGAGACATTGCTCTTTCCACTATACTGCTCTGGGTCCTCTCATATTAGGGGTCATTAGGAAGAAGCTGGGTACTCACATCTATCCATATAGAAGGTATTCCTTTTCAGGTATGTGATGGCTTAGACCATCTTTGGGGCCATTTTAAATACTGAGATCTAGACAGCTAGATGGCATGGTGTAGAGAGGGCTGGACAACCCAAGTGAAATCCTGCCTCACACCCTTATTAGCTTTGTGACCCTGGGCAAGTGACTTAAACTCTCTCAGCCTCAGTTTCCTTATCTGTAAAATGAGGATAGTAATAGCATCTACCTCACAGGTTGTTATGAGGATCAAATGATGTAAGCAAAGTGCTTTGAAACCTTGAAGTGCTTTATAGATGCTCGCTACTATTATTATTAAAGGTCATTAGCACTATCCACTCATTTTACAGATGAGGAAATTGAGGTGCAGAGAGGTTGAACAACCTGCCTGAGGTCATATAGGGAAGGAATGGCAGGGTGGAGAATAGAACCTGGGCTTCCTGAACCTCATTCCATTGTTCTTGTTTCTATAACATCACAGTGGAATATGAATAACTAACCTCTCTTTGGCTCAAGCAAAAGGAATGAAATTTTAATTGTGGAATTTCAGGCATAAATCACCCCTCAGAAATCATATCAGGAAGGCCAGTACCATCACACACAAACAGAAACAGATCCCTGTGGATCACATATTGGCATAAATAAAACTACAAATTAACATGCTATACAAGATGTTATTTTGTTTCTCTATTTATTTTGTTGAACATTTCCCAATTACATTTTAATTAGGTTTCTGCACCCTGGGAGTTTTGTGGCCTGAGTTTGACACCTCTGATACAGACAGCTACCCTTCTCCCACAACTTGTAACATCAGCCCCAGAACCTGGCATGTTGGTTGCCCTCATTCTTGGGTTTTCCTTCAGGCCACCAATTAAAAGTCATAGTGATCAGGATGCTTTGTCAGGTCCCCTGAAAACAGGAAGCCCAGTTTTGTGGCCCCCAGCAAGACTAGGCCATTTTACTGGCAGGGCTGGAGTTAATGAACCAGTACACTTGTCTGAGAACCTAGCAAGGACAGAAGAGGCAGAGGCAGCAGCTGTGAGACAAGCCTGAAGTTTTTCAGTGGTGAGAAGCTAACTGGGGGCACAGGACGCTCTTTGCATTGCTCTTCAGGTGAGTGCATAGGTGAACAGCTTCAGCTGCTGGCTGTAAACAGATCTCTAGCAGTTTGGCTTTGCCAGGGTGCCAGAGAACGTGCCTTATGTCGCTGGACAGAATCCCAGAATCAGGAGGCATGTCGAGAGGGTGGTTCGGGACTATTTGTTCTTAGCAGGATTCGTGTTGCCTCAGAACATACAATCGAATTCAGTTCAATTCAACCCAATTCAATGAATTTCAATCCATTGAATGTCTATTAAACAGGATCTTCTGAATAAGGCACTGTGAAGGGATTAAGAATGCAAGAGAGAGCAGGGACTGGAGACCCTGCTATATAAAGTCAAGAGAGGCAGCATGACGCAGAGAAAAGAATGATGAACTTGGAGTCATGGGACCTCTATTCAAATCCAGGCTCTTATCCTTCCTTGACTGTATGATATGGGCAAGACATTTAACATCTCATGGACTCAGTTTCCTCATCTGAAAAATGAGAGGGTTAGATTTGATGGCCTCTGAGGGTTTTTTTTAAATTTCTAAATCTATGAGATTATAAAATAACGTAGTCTCCATCCTCAAGGAAGGGTAATGCAGGAGGAAGGAGTCCTGATCTCAGAATCAGGAGATCTGGGGTCCAATTCCAGTCCTGACATCTGGGAGTTGTGTGGTCCTACATGTCATTAAACTTCTCTAAACCTCATTTTCCTCATTTACAAAAATGAGGATGATATTTGCTCTACCTACCTTCTAGGATTTGTGTTGAGGGGAAAGTGCTTTATAAACCTTAATGACTGTAGAAATACATCCAGTCGATTCGCAAGCATTTATTAAGAGCTTACTCTGTTCCAGGCACTGAGGAAAGACAAAAGGGACAAAAGATCATAGCAGGGCATTAGGGAAAGCACTTGTGGCTGGAAGAATCAGAAAAGTTCTCATGTAGAAGCAACGCTTGCGCTGGGCCTTGAAGGAGACTTGGGATTCTAAGAAGTAGAAGTGGAGGACGGAATGCATTCCAGCCATGGGGGACAGCCAATGCAAAGATATAGGAGATGGGGAACAGATCACCATATGTCTTATGTGAGGAATAGGAAGAAGGCCAGTTTGACTAAATTGAGTGCAGGAAGGGAAGTCATGTACAAGGAGATGGGGCAAAACCTGTTTTACTTTTGTTTCCACATAACCTTCAGCACCTAGGACAGTGCCTGGAACAAACCAGGCACTTAATGCATGCTTTTTGAATTGTGAAGGACTTTCAGTGCCCAACAGAAGAGTAATTCACCTTTGCAAGATCCTTCATTTTCTAGAGAAAGTAGAACTTGAAAAAGGAGTAAGATGTGGGTAAGTGGAAGAGAGAAGATGTTCCAAGAGCTTTGAACTAAAGGGAATTCTAAATATGACATGTAAACCCCACATTGGTAGTCTGTGGGTAGGGAGTGGATTGACATGCATGATGTTTGAATGACTTTCTAAGGACTTATTAGATACTGCTAAAAAACCAGATTGAAGTACATAGACAATATGGAAGACTAAAAAGGAAGCAGCAGAAAAATTTTTGTTGTAGTTCTTTTGAGTATCTTGTATGCACGCGCATACACACACACACACACACACACACATACATTCACACAGAGGTTTTGTAGAACCATATGAGGACTTTTGTCCTGCCAGGTGGCACTCCATAATCACCTTACGTGGCTTTTTATTTATGACTACTCCACCTGAAAGCGTATACAGAGAGTCCCTAAGACAAGTTTTCATATATTTGACAGGTTGAGAGGGTGAGATAATCAGCAAGGTAATGATAATAAGTGGAGTTCTTTCTGTTTTCTCCCTCCCCCACAGGTAGAAATCCTTGACTACAAGACAAAGAAGCAACTATGCTTTCTGGATAAGGTAAATCCAGTGAATCTATGAAAAATGTCGCTAAAATGTTACTTCATCAAAACTGTGATTAAGAATTCTGGGTCCTGAGGAAAATTCAGGTGGAGGGTGGGCATGCATAGAGGTCAGTCCCCTAGGACAGACTGGGGAAAAGGCGGGGTAGTAACGGAAAGGCTGGTGGACCAGCAGGAGGGGGGCTGGATTTCCATGGCTCTAGAAGAACCCCTGAAGGGAGGAGAACATTTCTCCAGATTGTTGGTGTTTAGGGACAAAGCCCCACTCATCCCACTCTGGTTATGGCTCTGTATTTTATAATTCTTTTAAAAAAAACCTTGTTTCCTGTAAATCTTACCTTTCTAAGGTTCAGAATGGGTGGCATAGCACCAATTTATCCACCTAATTCCAGTCAAGAACTCCACTCCTGTTATGGATGAGTCAATTGCAATAGATGCAAAAAGTCTTTCAGCCTTCCTGGTCCAGCCACATCTTTGCCTCTAGATTAAATCCTGGGTATTCCTCACTTGGGCCAACTTCATACCCTAGTGAATTTGAATAATTTGATTAATTTGAATGCCCAGAGAGGAAAACCATCCTTGTCCATTACCAATCTTGGGAAATATTCACTTCTACAGATTTGAGTCATGTTACAGGAAACTGACTAATCTTCTGTCTATGTATGTTCTAATTAAAATGCATCTCCTCGTTCATTTGCTAATTGCAAATACTTCTGATATCTAGGTTGAACCACACGCCTCAATTAATGACATCAGATTGATGTTCCATAAATTTTGTAAGTAGTGTGTATGTTTTCTAATGTATGCCAAACACAGACACCCCATTCATTGCAACTGTCATATATACTGATGAAAATTAATGCTAATTGTATTGATTTGTTTAGAGAAAGACCTACCTAACTTAGAAATGAACTTTGTGAATAGAAAATTCTAAATGATAATGTGTCTCAAAATGATTTCCTTTTTTCTTTATACATCTAAAGGCAATTATTTTAAGTCACCTATGATGGCACCTTGGTTTCACTTGAGTCCAATGTGAGTTTCAAGCACTACTGGTCTAATTCTCATATTGAGTATACTCTTAATAGAACAACAAGTCAGCTTGTCCTCGCAATGTCTTTGTCTGGTTCTCCTGTAACTGACCAAATTTGGGTATCTTTTCAAGCCCATTATTTCTGGGGTTTCTATTGAACATTTTGAATTGGAACTCACATAGGCATCTTTAAGATGTCCAGAACAGAACTCATTGATTTGCCTCCCAATGTACGTCTTCTGAACCTCACTATTTCTGTAGAGAGTGCCATTGTCCGTTTGGTTACCCAGGACTGCAGCCTTGATGCCATCTTCAATTCCTCATTGTCCTTCAGCCCACGTAGCCAATCAGTTGCTAAAGTCTTGCCAATTCTTCCTCCATAGCATCTCTCTCATTCGCCCACTTCTCTCCACTCACAGACTTTCAACACCTTCTGCCTAACCTTTTACACCTTTTGCAATAGCCTCCTAATTGGGTTCCTTGCCTCTCCCTGCTCCAGTTGATCATCCACAGAATCACTAAAGTCAGTCTGACCACATTGATTCCTTCCTTAATAAATTCTCATGACTCTCTATTACCTCCAGGATCAAATACAAACCTCTCTGCATGGCTCCTGCATACATTGGCCCCGGTTTTCTTTTTGGTCTTATGAATTTCCTTTTACACATTTTCTAGACCAGCCAAACTGGCCTTCTTACTGCTCCTAGCACAAAATACTCCATCTCTGACCTCCCTGCCCTTGCACTGGTTGTCCCTCATGCCTGAAATATAGTCTTCCCTCACCTCCACGTCTTAGAATTCTTACTGTCCTTCAAAACTCAAATCAAATGCTTCTTTCCACAGCCTTTCCTAGCCCACAGGCTGCTAATGCCTCTCACCCCTGCTTCCATTACTTTGTCTTTATTTGCATAGATTTGTTTATGTACAGGTCATTTGCTCTCAGTAGACTGCAACCTTTCTGAGGGCAGGACCCATTTCGTTTTAATCTTTATATCCCCAGTGCCTGACACATAGTAGGTACTAAATTGATATTTTTTTGTTATTGGTTCTCTTCCAGATCCTCAATGGTATCCAGCAAGACAGTCAATGAGACTAGATCCCAGTAAGTACCAGTTAATCAGACTGATGATGCATTTGGGGAGAGGGAAGATCAGCCTAACACCTTGAGCTTTGGAAGAGTTCTTCATGTGAACAAAGTGCTAGCTAGAGATGGTGGTGGCAACAGCTGCAGGGTGTGGTCGTTGGGGATGTTGCTTAATGGAATGAAGATGAGTCTCTAGTCTTAACCCCCGCCAGTTTCCCAAGGTTTCAGTGGCCTTATGGAATGAGCTTGGACTTGGGAGGCAGGAGAGATTTGGGTTTAAATCCTTACTAGTTGGTACTTACTAGTTACATGACAATAGGCCACTCATACCTTTTCTGAGGTTCAGTTTATTCATTTCTAAAATCAATCAAGTCAACTAGAATGCATAAAGTACCTACTACATGCCAGCACTGGGGAGACAAAGAAAGGCAAAAACGGTCTTTGCCTTCAAGGAGCTTACATTCTAATGGAAACTGATGAATCTAATGGCAGATGTTGGTTTCTTCTCCATCTTCACTGAAGATCTGCTTCTCAGTCTGGTAATTGGAAAGATGTAATATCAAATAAGATAAGAAGTGTAAAGCACTTAGCCTAGTGCCTGGTACATAGTAAATGCCACATAAGTGTTAGCTATAATAATAATAATAATTATTATTGTATTCTGAGAGGAAGGAATGGTCTCGATAGTATCTTCCAGGGTCAACTTACAGTTGCATTGGGAGCACAATCAGCTGAGAAAATAGGCACCTGGGTATAGAATTTGATTCAGTAAGCACTTATTAAATGCCTATTACATGCCAGGCCCTGTTCTAGGTGCTGAAGATGCAAAGAGAAAAGTAAAACAGTCCCTGTCCTCAAGGAACTTATAGTCTACTAGGCAGCTCGGTGGTGCAGTGGATAGAAATTTTGAATTGAGGTCAGGAAGTCTTGTATTCAACAGTGACCTCAGACACTAGCTGTGTGACTTTGGGTAAGTTACTTAGTTTCTTATCGCCTCAGTTTCCTAACTGTAAAATGGGTATAATACTTTGCAGGATTGTTGTGAGGCTCAAATGAGATAATATTTGTAAAACAGTACCTATAACATTGCCTGGGATTTAGTAAGTGTTTGTTGTTTTTCTATTGTGTCCCATTCATCGTGATCCCATTTGGGATTTCCTTGGCAGAGATATTGAAGTGGTATACCATTCCTTCTCTAGCTCATTTTACAGATGATAAAACTAAGGTCAACAAGGTTAAGTGACTTTCCCAGGGTCACACAGCTAGTAAGTGTCTGAGGCCCAACACTATCCACTGTACCACCTAGCTGCTGAAAGGCTTAACTAGAGCTTGTCAACTGGACTTTGTCCCAAGGTGCTGAAATTTAGAGGGTGCCAGCAGCACTTGTATTTGTAGTCAATAGAAACACTCAAATTGCCCCCATCCGGTAGATGTTTCATAAACGCTTATTACCTTCCTCCTCCTCCGTTGAAGTCACAAGACTGGAGTTCAAATCCTATTTCAGACATTGATTTGTTGTGTGACCCTGAACCTCCATCTGAAAAAAATAAGTGGAGATAATAGCAACTACTCTGCAGGGTGGTGAGGATCAAATGAGATAATATATATATGTGTATATATATATATATATCACTTAGAAAACCTTAAATTTCTATACAAATATTGTTATTATTATTATTGAGAAAAACAACATATTCAGAGTTAAGTAAATGCAAATGATACGGAAAATAAATATAAAGTAATTTTAAGAATTAGAGGAAAGCTCCAGCAACTAAGCTAATCAGCAAAGACCTTGTAATGGAGGTATCACTTGAGCTGTTTCTTGAGTGGAACTAGGGGCTCCAAGAGGGAGAGGGGAGGAGGAAGAGCATTCCAGGCTTGGGGGATAGCACATGGAAAGGCAGGGAGATGGAAGATCCAAGAATAGCTTCATTAAAGGCCAGTTACTGAAAGAAGGACAAGTTCTCACAAAGGAAGTATGACTAGGTCACACTTTAGTTGAAAAAGATCTGGTGAGTCCAGTGGACTTTGAACCCAATATTTGTCAACATGGGATAAGGCATCAAAAAAAAAAAGCTCATGCAATCTCTGGGGTCATTAAGACAAGACGTGGATTCTAGGACTAGGGAGGTGATAGTCCCACTGTAATTTGCCCTCATTAGGCCACACCTAGTTCTGGGTGTCACACTTTAGAACATACTTTGAGAAGCTAGAAAATTCCCAGAGGAAGGGCAACCAGGATGGTAAAAGGCCTGAAGCTTATGTCATAGAGAAATAGTTAAAGGAACTGGCAACAATTCACCTGGAGAAAACTTAGGGAGAATCTGATTGTCATCTTCAAGGATTTGAAGTCTGTCTTATGGAAGAGGGATTAGCTTGTTATGCTTGGCCCTGGAGAACTAGGAGGATGATGGGAAACAGATTACAGCTCAGTGTTGGGAAAGACATCCTAACTGTTAGTGTGATCTCAAAGTAGAAAGGGCTGTTTTAGGAGGGGGTAAGTTATTCACTGAAGGTCTTTCAGAAAAGCCTGGGCTGGGGGTGATGGCTCATGCCCATAGTTATTATTACTGAAGAGACTGAGGCCAGTGGATTGCTTAAACTTAAGGTATTCTGAACTGCAGCTGGGCTAAAGCTGATAGGGTGTCCTCACCAAGTCCTCACCAAGCATCAGTAGGGTGAGCTCCAAAGAGCAGGGGGCCAACAGGCTACCTAAGAGGTAGCAGACCAGCTCAGGTCAAATGGACCAGACCAAAGCTCCTGTGCCTGTCAATAGCACAGGCCCACGAGTGGCTACTGAGCTTCTAGCCTGGGCAAGATAGAGAATTGAAGTCCCCCAAAATAAGAAAAAACAAAAGCCTGGATGGGGACTCTTGTTCAAGTTCACAGTGGTATAGACAGCCTCTGAAGTCCCTTGCAGCCAGGGATTCTATGTTCTTGTAGTTTTGAATGAAAATGAAAGACTCTTCTTCCCTTCCTCCTCTTTCTTTTGTTCTCATCCTTGTTCTCTTCTTCCTCCTCTTTCCTTCTTTCTTCTTTTCCTCCTCCCTTCTTCTTCTTTTCCTCCTCCTCCTTTTCTCCTCCTCGTCCTCCTCCTCCTCCTCCTCCCCATCATCTTTGTCCTCCTCCTTTTCCATCTTCTTCTTCTCCTCCTCCTCCTTCTTCATAGTAATAATGATGATAATTGCTAGCATTTTTATAGTGATATAAAGTTTGCAAAATGCTTTAGAAATAGTATTTCAGTTTATTCTCACAACAACTCAGGGAGGCAGGTACAATTATTTTACAGATGACAAAACTGAGGCACACAGGTTAAGTGCCTTAGGGGGCACAGTGGATAGAATGCTGGGCCTAAAGTCAGGAATCCCTGAGTTCAAATTCAGCCTCAGACATTTACTAGTTGTATGACCCTGGGCAAGTCATTTAAAAAAACCCCAAACCTCTGTTTGCCTCAGTTTCCTCATCTGTAAAATGGAGATGATAATAGCACTTAACTCTCAGGGTTGTAAAGATCTAATAGATAATAATTGTAAAGTGCTAATCACTTGTTCCCCTCCTCCTCCTCATTCTCATCTTCTTCCTCCTCCTCCCCTGTAAAGGGCTAAACCTTCCAATTATTATCTGTTAGATGCTCACAACCCTGAGAGGTAGGTGCATGATATATAATATATAAACGTTAGCTATTATTATTGTTGTTGTTGCCCTGGGTCATATGACTAGTAAGTGTCTGAAACTCGATTTGAACTCGGGCCTTCCTGACTCCAGGTCCAGGGCTCTATCTAGCTCCCTCTAGGCAGCATTTCTAGCAGTTTTGCAAATGCTCTACAAATATTGTAAAATATTTTCCTCCAAACAGCAGCCCAAGCGACTGTGGTTGCTATAACTTGACAGTATGAAAAGTTCCCAGTGAATAAAATGTTCACCAATGCATTTCCAGAGCCCAGTATGGGACTTGGAATATAACTCTTTCTCTGGTTCTGTTTCCTTTCTCTTGCACTCACCCATATGAACATCTTTCCTTCTTAGAGGGAAAAGCCTTGAGGAATGAGGAGATCCTGCAAAGACTTCCAGTTGGCACAACAGCTACCCTCTATTTCAAAGACTTGGGGCCACAAATCGGATGGACAATGGTAAGTAGCAAAGGGAGGGACAGCTGCTCATCTAAGGCTTGAGTTTCAAGTCATTTTCTCACTGCAGCGCTGGGGAGGGGGAGGGGGAGGCTGGGTTTAATTTGGTTTCTTCCAGTAGGAAGAGATTTGACTTGAGACAGAGGATCTGGGTTCAAATCTCCATCTCTGAGTAGCCTCTCCCTACTGCACCTGAATGATTTAAAGAGGGGTATAGTTATGAACCCTCAAGCCTCCTGGTTAATGGTGTCATAGGAGAGTTGCAGTTTTGTGCCTGCAGCCCCAGCTGCTAGGGATTTGGACAGAGGGAAGGTCGTAAACAATCCTGTCTCCTCACAGTCCCCTCAATCTTGTCCCTCCTTCAATCAGTGTGAGGACAATAATGTCTCTCTAACCCTTACTCCCTTCTCTCCCAGGCGAGGAGAATAGATGACCCTTCTGGAATTTCTTCTAGCTCCCCCCACCTTCAAGTGATAGTTGGATCACCTCCAATGGGCTTCCTCCCCTCCCCTCCCCTCCTCTTCCTTCCCCTCCGAGGCCAGCTTTGAACTTACAAAGATGAGTCCGCAGGACTCCAGGCATGGTACTCTATCCACTGCTATCTACCTAGCTGCTGAAAGGCTTAACTAGGGACTTTGTCCCAAGGTGTTGAAATTTCCAGGGTCTCAGTAGCACTTGTGCCTCTAGTCAGTAGAAACACTTAAATTCAACAGAAAGTTAGCAAGATTTGTTAAAATGGTAACTGCAGCGTGCTTCCTCCTCCTCACCTCTTGCCTGCCACAGCTCATCTGAGATTCTTACTAGCTTGACCCTATGCTAATTCCTCTCAAAGTGGCCCTTTTCAGGGCCTTGTGTCATAAGGTGATAGGATCATAGATTCAGAGCTGGAAGCAACTTCCAGAGACCATCTAAGGCTCAAGGTCTCCTTCTCATTCTGGGGGCTCTTCTCTGCATTACTCTCCAGTGTAATTTGTCTTAAAAAGTTAATGTGAGGATAACTTTCATGCTGGCTAGCCCAAGGTTCATTTTGTGTTCTTTGCCACAAATTTTTTTTGTGCCAAATTTTCTGGTTAAATGGAAACTTGGTGTTTCTGGCACAGTTTTCTGAGGAGGATGTGGCTAGAAATGCATTGATTCATTTGAAGGGATCATCATCTTTTAGAAGAGACAAAATGACTACATTATTGACCAGGTCTTTGGTGTTTTAAAAATAGAAACCCTTCCAATACTTGCCCATAGTGAATTTCCCACCTCTTGCCCTCTCAGCCATCAAGACAGGTATCAGGTCCCACAAAGCAGTTGCAAGTGGGATCTCTGTAGAAATGGGAATTATCAGCAAAAAGACCAATGAGAGAGGCCTCAAGTTATCAAATTCTCTCTTCTTTTGCAGGTGTTTTTGATCGAATATGCAGGCTCACTCTTCATCTACCTCCTGTTTTACCTCCGAATGCCTTTTGTCTATGGTCTGGAAAAGAAACTCATGTCAAGGAGGCTTCCTGTGGTCAAGTGAGTCTTATTAGGAATGCCAATCAGTCAATCAACCATAAGTCAAGGGATCACAGATTTAGAGCTGGATGGTACCTTAGGGGCTATTGAATCCAGGTCTCTCATTTTCCATATGAGGAAACAGAGGCACATATAGGTTTCAGGAGCTTGCCCAGGGTCACACAATTAATAAGCATCTGAGGCAAGATTTGAACTCAGGTCTTCCTGACTCCAGGTACAGCACCTCATCCACTAAACCGATCAACAAGCATTTATTAAGTACCATCTCACCCCTGAATCTTCTAGTCCATTGGTTCTCAAAGTTGGTCTGAGGAACCTTAGGGTCGCCAAGATCCCTTTTAAGGAGGTCTGTGTGGTCGAAAGTATTTTCATAATGATACTAAGATATTTTCATTTTTAATATGGTAAATATCAATGGATATAATCCATGTAAACAAAAGTTCTTTGGCAACTTTTTGGGAACCCAAGAAGATTCAGTAGAAATTATATTAATTTCATGGCTTTGATTCCAGATATTTTACAATAGCATAAATCTACAATGTAGATTGAGGTAGCATAAATAAATGAAGATACACTTCTTAAGCCCTTACTATGCTCCAGGCACTGTACTAAGCTCTGAGGATTCATATACAAAAGCAAGACAGTCTCTGCCCTTAGACAACGAACATTCTAAAAGGGGGAGATATCGGCATGGCCTTGTGAATGGAGTAATGCACTTAGAATCAGGAAAACCTGGGTTCAAATTCTGCCTTTGACACTTACTGGCTGTGTGATCCTGGGCAAATCACTTAACCTCTTGTCTGCCTCAGTTTCCTTATCTGTGAAAGGAGGATAGTAGCATCTACCTCACAAAGGGTTTTATGGGGCTCCAGTGAGATAATGTCAGTGGAGAGTGCTTTGTAAACCTTAAAGTGCTTCATGAATGTTAAATATCATTATAATTATTGCGGAGAGGCAGCTTGATATAGCTTGTAAAATGTGGATAACAATCCCTGTAGTGTCTATCTCAAAGGGCTGTCCGAGGCTCAGATGAGAGAACTGATAATAACAATCACATGACTTGTATAGCCCTAAAGTTCTCAAAGCACTTTGCCTACACTATTTTATTTGAGCCTCATAACAGCTCTGTGGAGTAGGTGCTATTATTATCCCTGTTTTACAGATGGGAAAACTGAGTCTGAGAAATGTGAAGTGACTTTCCTGGTGTCATACAACTAGTAAGTAACTCAGGTATTCTTGCCCCTAAGTTCAACATTTGATTATCCACCACAGCCCCTAGCTGCAGCATTTCTATAAAGCACTTTAACAAGCTATATAAATTTGGGCTATCTTTATTTATCATTAAAAAATCCCTTTTATCTTGCCTTATCTAGCCTGGCATGCATCTGCCATTCTTCCCACTACATCAAACGATTGATTGAAACCATCTTTGTCCATCGGTTCTCTCATGGGACCATGCCTCTGAAGAGTATCTTTAAGGTAAATTCTCGCCAGCTGGCACACCAACCTCTAGTCCTTCCTGCTTTGCTTCTCAAACACTCTTCCTGGCTGTGTCTTTGTGGTAACGTATGGTAACACTGTCTCATGCCCAGGGCCGCTGATCCCTTGACCAGATCTCTTGCCCACTACATTATTTCAGCCTCCATAATCTCTCCTCCCCACCCCAACCCCTCACCTCACCCCCTTGGAATCTCAAGTACAGTTTCCTATTGATGTTTTAAGCATTGCAAAGTATCATATCCCTTCAGTTTTCCTTCCCTTCCCCTCTTGGCTCTTTGGATGTGATTTCAAAATTACTGCTGTATTTTTAAGACATCTTCCTGCCAAGTAGATACTTGTAGATTTTGCCTTTATTTTTGTTTTGTTTTGGTCTCCCTCCCTTCTGTTCTTTATAATTAGAGGGGAGGTGTGGTCTGATGGTCCAAAGACACGGCTAGGACCAGCAGCACTTTGAGTTCTGATCTTGGCTTTGATCTTTGAGCTTCCCCCAAGCTTTGGCTAAATCCCTCCAAACTTTGGTTCATCCTGGCTATAATGAATAGGTTAGGTGAACTGAGGGTGGAATGAGGGCAACCATAGATCCAGAGGTAGACAAGATCACAGATGTCATCTGGTCTAGCTCCTTCATTTTGCAGATGAGGAAACTAAAGGCCAGGGTAGTGAAATAATTCTCCCAATGTCACACAAATAATAAGAGTCAGAGGTGGGGAGAACATAATTTCAAAATGCTAAATGTTAAGTTCTTGGAGAAACACCTTTGTGCCACAGCTGAAGCCAGGGAGTAGAGAGCGGTCTCCTTTCTGTCCAGATGTGATGAGGAGTGAACAGAACCAGTAGAGATGGGTTTCTTGGAGGCCAAACCTAGCTCCACCTGAGCGTCCTTTGTTAGCTGACTTATTGGGAGGTAGTATGGTGTAGTAGGAAGTATGGAGCTCATGGCAGTAGCAGATACAGGGCTGGAGCCCAGCTTTGACAATTAGAAGGGTACGGTGGCATGAATGAATGAAATGAATGAAAACGCATGTATGAAGTGCTTTCTATGCACCAGGCACTGTGCTTATTGCTAAGGAAACAAACAGAAAGAGCAAGACAGTCCCTTCTCTCAAGAAGCTTCCCCTCAAATTGGGGAGACAACATATAAAAGAAAGCTTAGCTGTAGGGTGGATGGCAAGGCCTGCTATTCCAAAGGGTGTTGTGGAGAGGCAGATGATGGCAAGGTCAGAAGGTCTTTTGAAAAGAGTATAAGTTGTGGAGTCAGAGGACCTGGGTTCAAATTCTATCTCTGATGCTGTTTGACCTTGGGCCTCAATCTCATCTGTCAAATGAGGGGGGTTGAACTGGATGGCTGCTGAGGTCCCTTCCACTTCTAAATCTCTCATCTTTCGACATTTATGTTTTACTGAAGTAGAGGAAAATATTAAATGGACTTGCATTAATCATACTTGTTTACAACAATAACAACCTTGAAACTGGGCATGATGACACACGCCTATGATCGCTGCTACTGAGAGGCTGAAGCTGATGGATGGTTGGAGGGAAGGAGTTCTGAGCTTCATTGGGCTAAGCTGATTGGCTGTCCCCATCGAGTCTGATGTCATTGTGATAAACTCCCAGGAATAGGCGTCTACCAGGGAGGGACAAACCAGACAGGTCAGAAAAAGCAGAGCAGATTAAACTTCCCATTCTGATCAATAATGGGATGGGGTGAATGGCCACCAAACTTCTAGCCTGGGGGAGATGGGGAGACAGTGTTCTCCTACCCCTCCCCTCTAAAAAACTACTCAAAGCCCATCCCAGTGGAACATGGGGTTGAAAGCTAAGAGGGTCCCAGTGTTGAGGAATGGGGTGTGTGTGTGCACGTGTGTGTGTGCGTGTGTGTGCATGTGTGTGTGTGTGCACGTGTGCATGCAGCCACATGATCAGGTGTTATGTGAGAGAAAACCTGACCCTTGATCTCCAAACAATTTTGGTTGGCTCCAAAGCGACCTGGAAGCCTCCAGTGTTGTTAGTGGGGGATTAAGTGGCCCCATGTGACCTTTCAATCCTTCTTCGTAAACATTTCAATCCTTGTAAATTGTCCCTTTCCTACTGATCATCTGACACGGCCCAGAGTTGATTATCAAGTCCATTAATCTCACTTAGTGTTCCTGGAATAGAAAATGCTGCCAAAAAAAATAAGCCAAAGCCAGCTGCAGCCCTTTCCCCAGGGTGTCACAGTCCCAGTTTAGGCCTGGGGGAAGAGGCAGAGCTCCGTGCCCACAGGGAGGACAGTCCTGCCCCTTGACTTGGAGGGATCTTCTTCCAATCTTCTTCCCCTCTAGACGTCTTCTAGAATCCAAGGTGAGAAGTCTTTGTTCTGTCCCCCAAGAGCTGGGGAAGCTTCACATGTAGACATGGTAGCTGGGTTTGCCATTGCAGTTTAGGAATACAGTAACTGAGGGCTTTCAACGTCTCTACTGAAAGTGGGCATTACCCACATGGATAATACCAGCCTCTTGCCTCTACCTTGAAGTAAATACAGGAATTTGGCTATGTTGCTGTTCAGTCGTTTTTCAGTCGTGTCCAACTTTTCATGAGCTCATTTGGGGTTTGTTTGCCCTTTCCTTCTCCCCCCTCATTTTACAGATGAGGAACTGAGGCAGACCAGGTTCAGTGACTTGCCCAGGGTCACAAGGCTAGTAAGTGTCTGAGGCCAGATTTGAACTTAGGAAGAGGAGTCTTTCTGACTCAGGCCCAGCCAGCACTCTATCCTGGCTGCTCTTGGCTTTGTTAGCAGTGCTTTAATTCTTTACTCTTTTGGTAGGTAGCATATACAGTGGAAAGGACACAAAATGGGAGCTTGGGTTCAAATCTATCTGTCACTTTAATAATTAATAATAATAATATTTTTATATAGTGCTTTAAGGTTTGCAAAGTACTTTATAAATGTTATCTCATTTTATTCTCACAACAACCCTGAAAGATACCTGCTATTATTATCCTTATTTTATAGATGGGGAAACTGAGGAAGGCTTGAATGATTTGTCCAGAGTCACACAGCTTGTAAGTGTCTGAGGCTAGATTTGAACTCAGATTTCCTGCCTCTGGGTTCAGCGCTCTATCCACCATGCCACTTCTAATCTAACCTATGACCTTCAGCAAGTCTGAATTTCTCCGAATCTGTTTCCTTAATTGTAAAATGAAGAGGTTGGACCAGATGACAGCTCCTTCCAGGACTGGGGTTTTGCTAAGTAAGCTTTTGCCTTACCTTGTCCAGAACCCAGGCCGCCACCTACTTCTGGCCATTTCTAAACCCAGCCACGTACACCTCCACCCCTGTCTCCCCTCTCTTGATTTCCAACTTTGTATATTATCCTGCCCTATTAGAATGTAAGCTTCTTGAGGGCAAGGACTTGCTTGTATTTATATCCCCAACATTTAGTACCTAATAAGTAAGTGTCTAATAAATGCTTTGAAATTCATTCATTCATTCATCCCAAGGTACTTTCCATCCTGAAGTATAACTTGTCTGAATCCAGTCATTGTTTCCAAGATGTGAGTGAACTTAATGGATCAAATTTGTCCTTCCTTTTGAGACGCCCAACTTCAGTTTGGTACAGCAGAAGCAGGCAAGATATCTCAGTCCAAGCTGATTTGCTTTACTGTCCATTAGGAGTCTGGTAGTGTTAAGACTCGCAGTGGACCAGAGGGAAATTAATATGGCTTCATAGGTGACTTTCAGTGGATACATGTACTTCAGGTTTAGGATTTAGGAGGAGGAGAAGAAAGAGGAAGAGGAGAAGAAGAAGGAGTAGAAAGATGAAGAGGAAAAGGAGGAGGAAGAGGAGGAGGAGAAGAAGGAGGAGAAGGAGGAGAAGGAGGAGAAAGAGGAGGAGAAGAAGGAGGAGGAAAAGAAGAAGAAAAGGGATGAGGAAGAGGAGGACCAGGAGGAGGAGAGGAGGTGATGATGATAATGATGATGACAATAACATTACAGAGTTCAAAATCCCCTCTAATATTAGTAATACCTATTCTCCTGGGTGGTCTACAAAAAGGGAGGTGACATCCACTCCAATGGAGAGACTAAAGAAAGAGAGCCTTTTCTTTTGGACAGTTTTGCACAGGGTGCTCAGAATGTAAATGTCTCCACTCATTGACCACTCTGGTCAGTTTTCACAGCTCTTCCCAGCCTCACCTGAGTCAGTCTTGGAGTGGATAAAGTATGCACAGGGGACCGAGATAAGTGAAACTACAGGAATGGACTGGAAATGGATCTAGTTGTCCTTGGCATAGGACTCTTTAGGTTCTACTGTTCGTTGCTCTGAAGCACAGTATTGCTGTGGGGTTGGGGAGGGTGAGAGAGGCTGGTGGAAATCCAATCGAATTTGAATTTATCAGCAGGAAGTTCCAGAGCAGTGATTGTGCAGGGCTCATACCAAAAAGGATCAGAATGTATGGCTTCAAATGTGAATCAGTCAAGAATGGAACACCCCAAATGTAGACTATTGCCAACATTCCCCTGATCTATCAGACTGGTCTCTTTGTCATAGAAGGAACCTTGGTTAGCCTGGCCTCGTCTGTTCTTGATGAAGCCACACTGGCTTTCTGTGACCTCTGCTTCCTTGTCTAAATGTTCTCTTGCTGTGATTCTGATGACTGGAGGCTCCTGCGACTTGAAAGCTCTCACCCATTTGCATCGGTGTTCTCAGAATCTCTTTGCAGCCACTTGATGATAAGTTGTTTGTCGCCGGGGTCGGTCTTGCTGGCCTGGCACCTAACTCTGCCGTTCTCTCAGGGCTTCCCTAATGTTCTGGGGAGGAGACAGACAGCAGCCCAGAGTCTGGTCTCCAGCAGGGTTCGTGCGTTTGAACACAAACATTTTGCAGAGGCAAAGCAGTACTTTTAAGGATGGGCCTTTGGTAACTGTCTTTTGGTTGCTAGAGCAACAAAAGAAGGCACGCAACCTCTGCCTACTGGTTCCCTCTTAAGTCTTCCTTCAC